AAAAAAAAAAAAAAAAAAAAAAAAAAGAAGGAAGAAGGGAATACCCCTTGCTTCATAAGGATTCCATGTGGATCATTCATGACAAGCCAGCCAAGTCTCCAACCAGGCACAACCCATCTCTTGGATATTGATCCAATGGTCACAACTGGAACAATTGATCCAAATACTCCCATAGGAACAAATGGGCTACTTCCAAAGGACAAATAATTATAGACTTCATCAGAAATCACAAAAATTCCGAGCTTTCTCGCTATCTCTGCAATCTACACAGTGAGAACAAAACCATTGCACGTTGACAATCATTACGCAAAAGCTCCCACTTTCATATTGTACTCAATTAAAACAATTTTCCCACCTTCTTTAAGTGATTGTAACTGCACACATTCCCACATGGATTCCCAGGATTGATAATTACCATGGCAACTGTATTCTCATCTGCTAAAGCTTCAACTCCATCTAAATCAACTTCCCAATTTTTTTCCGGAAGAAGATTAAAGTGCCTGGCTTCAAGTTGAGAAAAACTGGCTCTAGCTTCATAGTAAGGAAAGCCAGGCTTTGGAAGCAAAATGTTAGCACGCGGGCATGCAAGGACAGTTGTAATGGTCTCTAGTGCTTGAGTGCAACCAACTGTCACGAACACGTCATCTGGCGACAACTTGTATGGAAGGTCTTTTGAAAGGTATTCTGCTATTGCCCTACACAAAGAAAAAAAGGATGCCTGTTAGTGAAGTGTGATGAAAACTGAACACAAAGCTCATTCAGCACATGTCCATGGATTAAATACCTAAATGGTATTAAAGCATTTCATTTCTCCCTTTTGCTCATTGCATTGTAGCCTGTGTATATATTGGGTGTAATAGAACCAAAGCCGATAGGTTTCGTCCACATCCATTTCATATAAAATGAAAACACACTGTTATTTGAGCAAATTAAATTGATCATATTTTTGTTATCCCACACAATGGGGGCTGGCTTGATCATAATTTCCTGCTAATTAATGCATTATCAAACTACCATTTCTCACAAACACGTCTATTTTTTAGTTTTGTGTGTTATTAACTCAAATTTCCAGTCTCAATCATATTACAAACCTCAATCACCCAACTAATGCATGAGTCACAACTCAGATTAATTTGGCTACAAATTTCAAAACCAAATATGAGTATTTTTAATGCATCTCAACTGATTAGGCAGTGATAAATAAAGAGAGTAATTTCATGACATGAATCTGAAGCAGTGCAAAACAAATATCTTAATTAACACAAAAACCAAATAGAAAAGGATAACTGTTCATGGCATAATTATGGGGCAAATGTGGGCAGTGCCTACAGTGCTAGGGTCGAATTTTCCCGAAGTATGGAAAATGGAAATCAAAACAAACAAACATCACGGCCTAACATAAAATGCAAACACATGTGATTACTCAACATATGCAGCTGATATTGCAAAAATCACAGAGGCCTTTCCCTGTCCCCACCAATATCTCTGCATTTCAAGCAACATGAAAAGAAAACCGTTTGGCAAGATTCCATCTTTTCAATTCTCACACAGACGCAAACCATTTAGAACTGTAATTAAAACTATATAAAACAAATCCCCTTTGCTAATCATTGTAAATGTTGTAATTTTTATCAAAACTCTTCAACAAAAACAGATTCAGCTCAAAAATAGGCAGACCTCGCAATTGAAGGAACACTTAAATCAACAATTACCAGAAAACAAGCAACATTAACAATCAAAACAGGGGTAAAACAAATAAATAAATGAAACCAATTACAGTATAAATAGAAGGTATTAATTAACTGCATTCATGTACTGCATAGTTAAAAAAGATAATTAATCTTCATTACCTGCGAGCCGGCAGAATACCGGCGGTGGGGGAGTAGCCGTTGAACTTGGCGGAGCGCACGGCGGCGCAGATGGCGTCTTCAGCTAAAGGGGCGGTGTGGAAGGAAGGGCAGGCGGAAGGGTCGCCTTGGCCCAATTGGATTACGGGTCGGGTTTCGTTCGGGTCGAGGTTCTCCGTGAGTTTGTTAAGCACTCCTCTGATAGTAAAGGCTGAGGCCTGCGTAAGCATCTCGTTTCCCTTGAACCGCCATGGAGACCCTCTGTTGTCTTCCATTTGAGAAATTTAATTTTTGCCTCTCTCAGTTTCTGTTTATTGTACGTAGATTCCTATGCAGACATTTTACTCACGAAGGACGATAATCGATAACGACGGCAACGGCAGTAGAGGTTTACGATGAGTCAGGGTGGGGCTGTTTGCTTGGCCATAATAAATACTGAATAGTAAAAATAAATAAATAAATTCTTCGTGCTCTATATCTATATTGATATATAAATTAATATATTTATAAATAACATACTACAAAACCATTAAATGATGTTAATTTTAAAATTCTAAACATTATTATACTTATTTTTTTATAAATATACATAAAGTATGAAATAATTAATTTTATATCTAAGTATATTATCTATAATCTTAATATATTATCATTTGTTATAAAACATTTAATATATGAATCGTAAAATATTTTTATTTATTAAAATAATGAAATTTCTATAGATCAATAGGGTGATCGAATTAGATCACTGCCCAAGTTGCTTGCTTTACTTTTAAGTGATATTTAAATTAGTCAACAAAACATGTGGTTGATCTCAGGTGATCGAGTTATGGTCAGTTTTGTCAGACCAAATCGATTATTGAAACTAAATATAAATTTAAATATTAAATATACTTTCTTACGATAAATGTAATGTAGCCTAAACTCCAAATATAAGAATTCCTTGACAACATGATTTATGAATATTTATATATCAATTATTAATATTTATGTGAACAATATGATATTGTATTGCAACTTTTAATAATGTACTGTAAATCCAATGTTCAAGTTATTTATTCAACGATTTATATTAGTTAGTCTTGAACATAATTTATTAATATTTTAATATATATTTATATATATAACTTTATGTGATAAATTTATATAATAATTATTAATTAAAAATCTAAACAATTTAAAATTTTCAAATGTTTAAATTAATTAATAAATAATCTATAAACTTTAATTTATTTAAATTTTGTTTTATATTTATATTAAAAATAATTTTAAATGTAAGAAAATTTATTTCAAAAATTATATAGATTATACCAGTCCGACTGGATGGTGTTGAGTGGTTCGCTAGCAAACATTTATTAAGGTGAACGGGACCGATCGATAAATTGTTCACAGTCCATCCAATCAGACTTTTCGGCCCGGTCCGATTTTAAAAATAATAGGTAAATCATAATCGATGCTATTTATATATTTAACTTATAATAGAATCATAATATTGTTTTCACATGTCACGACCAATTTGTTAATGAACAATGGTGTAATAAATGGCCCAAATCATCAAAAGGCTAAAGGAAAAAATCAAGACAACAAGGCAGGCCCTATTACTATGGAGCAGACATCATTTCTCAGAGAACCAATCAAAAATCAAAAGGCTTACTCTGTCCCTGGAGAATCTGAGGCAAGAAGGGGGTGATAAAAATTGGATTGCAGGGGCTGACCTTAACTCTCAACTGAATGAGGCTTACTACCAGGAGGAACTTTTTTGACAGCAGAAAGCAAGAGCATTGTGGCTGAAGGATGGAGATAAGAACACACGGTTTTTCCATGCATACACTGTACAAAGGAGAAAATTTAATGCTATTTATAGACTGGTTTGTGATGATGGCAGAGTTACAGAAAATCCCCAAGAGATTCAGGAATGTGTGTGTATCTTCTATGATAACCTCTACTCTTCTGAGGGTTCTGTGGGTGGTGATGAACTTCTGAGAAGAATTCCTATCTCAATTACCAGCCAAATGAATGATGATTTGATATTTGTGGTGGACATGAAGGAGATCAAGGAGGCACTTTCTGATATGAATCCTGAGAAGGCCCCTCGAGAAGATGGGATGACAACCCTATTCTTCCAACATTTTTGGCCACTCCTTCAGGGGATATTTGTGAAGCCATCCAAAGCTTTTTCTCCTCAGGCAGGATGCTAAGGTACTGGAACCACACCATTATTTCATTGATACCTAAATGTCTTTATCCTGAGTCCTTGAGCAATTTTAGGCCTATTAGCTTGTGTGGGGTGGTTTATAAAATCATTTCCAAAATACTAACAAAGAACTTAAGCCTTGCTTAGAGTCTTGTGTGAGCAGTGCTCAAGGAGCTTTTGTGTCTGGTAGGCTTTTGATGGATAATGTGGCGATAGCTCAAGAAGTATTCCATTTTTTGAGTAGGCACAAGTCTGGGGGGAATTGCTTCATGGCTATTAAGCTTGATATGCTTAAAGCCTATAATAGGATTGAATGGGGCTGTGTTCAGCAAGTGTTGATCAGAATGGGCTGTCATGAGAAACTTACTAACTAGGTGATGTGTTGTATTTCTTCTCCTTCTCTTTCAATTTGAATGGGAATGTGTGTGGTATGGTCAAACCCTCCAGAGGATTGAGACAGGGGGATCCTTTATCTCTTTATTTGTTTATTATTGTTGTTGAAGTCTTTTCTTCTCTTATTTTGGCTGAGGACAGTTTTGGAGGTTTAAAAGGGATCAAACTTTCTCGAGAAGGGCCTTTATTGACTCATTTGCTTTTTGCTGATGATACTCTACTGTTTTGTAAAGCTGACAGTAATCAAGTATTTCAGTTGATGGATATACGTGCTAAACACCAGGCTTTCTCGGGTCAGAAGGTGAACTGGAGTAAGTCAACTCTGTTTTTCAGTAAGAATACTAATCCTCAGCTGCAGAGCAACATCAGGTATATTCTCAATAATGTCCAGGTGCACAGCTCCACTAAATATTTGGGTTTGCCATTAGGCATTGAGAGATCTAAATCCCAGCCTTTTTCTTATGTTATTGAAGCTGTTAGAGGCAGGATTCAAAACTGGAAAAATAAATTCTTATCCACTGCTGGTAAAGATGTTTCGATTAAGGCAGTCCTAAATGCTCTTCCTATTTTTGTGAAGGCCTGTTTTAAGTTGCCTGTTTCAGTATGTAAAGAAGTTTCTAGGCTTTGTGCACAGTTTTGGTGGGCTAAGGGAGGTGATCATGACAAGGGGATCAGTTGGATGTCTTGGAAAAAAGTTACCTTACCAAAGAAGTTGGGAGGGCTTGGGTTCCAGGATATCATGTTGTTTAATGAGGCTATGATTATGAAGCAGATGTGGAGACTCATGACTAAACCTGATTTATTGATGTGCAAAGTTCTTAAAGCTAGATATTTTCCTAATTCTGATTTCTGTGATGCCAAGACGAAGGTGGGTGGTTCCTGGCTATGGAATTGTAGGATGGAGGTCAAGGTAAAGTTTGATTCAGGGATCAGAATGGATATACATAATGGGCACAACACTCTTATACAGGGCTACCCTTGGGTTCAAGGCCTTAATCAGGGGAGGGTGATTTCAGAGAGGGGGTTCAAACTGATTGTGTATGGGTGAGACACTTGATTATGGATGATGGCAGGACTTAGAATGCTCCCTTGATCCAGTATCTCTTTGATGAGGAGACTGCTACAGCCATCTTGGACATAAACCATCTACAGCCTGATGGACAATATTAGTGGCACTAGCTCCACTCAAAGAAGGGTCAGTTTTCTGTTGCCTCAGCATACTCAAATCTCATCATGGGAAAAGTCATTCAACTTGACATACCTGAGAGCAGCTCCTCTAGAGCAAATGATGAAAAGACCAGGGATCGAACTTGGAAGTTGAAGGTGAAAGGGAAAATAAAGCATTTTCTTTGGAAGTGCTTCTCCGGTGTGTTACCTGTCAATACAAATCTCATAAGGAGGGGTATGGATGTAGATCCTTTGTTTCAAATTTGTGGTGAACAGGCAGAAATGGTGGAGCACCTTCTCTGGCAATGCAACAAAGCACAGAAGACCTGGAAATTATCTCCTCTGTCTTGGGATGGGTTTGCAGCTCCTAACATTTCCTTCTCTGATTGGTGGTGGCAGTTGTGTTCTTTTAGCCTTAAAGCTATTGATAATGATAGGCTACAATTGTCCACTTATCTATTATGGTGGTTGTTGAAATCCCGCAACCTTTGGGTGTTTAAAAAGCAATGGATCCCTGAGCATTGTCTTGTGAGGCTGGCTTACAGGGAATGGAGGGAGTTCTCCTCAATCTAGCTGTGCTGAGTGGTTTATGGACTTGGAAGTTGATGGACTAGGCATTTGCAGTTTTCTATCTTCTTCTGAGTGTGATTATTCTTGTTGCATTGTTTCTATTAGCTATAGGTTCTCGGCTGTGTTTTTGCCGCCTTTAGCTATTTGGATTGTTTTTAGACCATGCATGTATGGTCTCCTTGTACCATCCCGATTATTATGGCTTTGCTATTTTTGTTGCCAGACATTGTATTTGATTTTGTTATTTGAGATTCCTATTGTTCCGTTAAAAAAAAAAAGATATTGTGAAATTTTAATCAAATTGTAAGCCAATCAAAGAAAATAGTTGTACCAATTTGTTAATGAACAATAGTGCAATAAATGGCCCAAATCGTTAAAATGGATATTGGGAAATTTTAAATCAAATTGTAGCCCAATCAAAGAGAATAGTTGAACCGCGCACTAACTCAGAAAGAAGATCAATTTCTATACAAAATAATTGAAACTAATCGCACCAAATTGCATGATGGGTTCAATTTCAACTCGATTTTACCTACCCAAACATACTCCTCTGAATCCAGGTAATCTTAGAATTAAATAACTTGTAGAACTTAAAATGATATATACCATTTATGTAAATTTATACCTTGTAGGGATATGATATAAATACATTGTGTATTGATGTATTTGCGAAAACGAGTGAATAATAAGATCACTGCTCCGCCGTTGACGTAGGCACATTGCCGAACCACGTAAATCTTGTGTCATTTACTTTCTCGTCTTTAATTCGTATTGTTCTCGTTTCACAACATAAGGTCTGAAAATTAGTTTAGACTACTGCAATAGGGTGGTGCCTTAGTTTTTGCCAGTAAGCAAATTAAAAATCTACATATAAAAACTTAAGGTTGACTGACAGATTAAGTGCCCTTGGGAAACAGAACACGAAAAGCACACACGGGGTTGAAAAAATCCTGCTTAGAGTAAAAGTATGCATAATCTGGATTTCTTTTAGGTTCTAGTGCGTCTTGTTAGATGTTTTCATTTGGACGATTTTTTTTTTTGTTCATACAGGATACGAGTCTAATTTAATCACTGACAAGAACACAATCCTGTTTGCTTACTCAAGACTCGCAATCCCTTCTCCTCTAGTGATAGTTTCGGAAAATATTAGTAGCTAT